ACAATCCAGTGGATTTTAGCATGTTGTGCAACCATCACCACAATCGGTACAATTTTAGAGCATTTTCATCACCTAAGAGAGAAAGTCCATTACCGTTAACAATCATTTTCAATTTCTCTTCCTGACCACCACCTATCCTTTCCTGCACCCCATCCCCCTCCCTCTGTCCTGGGTAATCACTTACCTGCTTTATGTCTCTCTATATTTGCCTATTCTATCTGTCTATATTTGGCTATTCTGGACATTTTATCCTTCCATCTACCTGTATTTGTATATCCTTAGACCAAAATCTTCCCATTCCCCCACTCCCTAATTACCAAGCCTCTGGTAACCACCATTCTACTGTCCTTCCATGAGATCAGCTTTTTTAGATTTCACGGATAAATGAGATCATGCAGTGTTTGTCTTTCTGTGCCTGGCTTATTTCATTTAACATAGTATTCTCCAGGTTCATCCATATGGTCTCAAATGACAGGATTTCATTGTGTTTAATGGCTGAATAGTGGTCCATTTTGTATATATTCCACATGTTTGATATCCATTTATTTAGTGATGGATACCTAGGTTGATTCCAGGTCTTGGCTATTATGAATAGGCAGCATATGGCAGTACAGATATCTCTTCAACATATTGATTTCAGGTCTTGGATATATATCCATTAGTGGGATTGCTTGATCATGTGATTGTTCTATTTTTAATATTTTGAGGAACCTTCATAAAGTTTTCCATAATGACTGTACTAATTTACATTCCCACGCATATGGTGGGAACACTTGGTGTACAAGTGTTCCGTTTTCTCCAAATCCTCACCAACACTTATTATCTTTTGTCTTTTTGAGTCTAACAGGTGTGAAATGATATCTCATTGTGGGTTTGATTTGCGTTTTCCTGATGATAATGTTGAGGTTTTTACCATATACCTGTTGGCCATTTGTATGTCCTCTTTTGAGAAATGTCTATTCAAGTCTCTTGTCCATTTTTTAAATAAGGTTATTTTTTTTTCTTTCTATCGAGTTGTTTAAGTCCCATGTATATTTTGGATATATTAACCCCTTATTGCACTTTTGTTCTGCAAATATTTTCGCCCATTCTGTAGGTTTTCCCTTCACTCTGTTGATTGTTTTCTTTCCTATGAAAAGGCTTTCTAGTTTGATATAACCTATTTGTCTATTTTTGCTTTTGTTGCCTGTGCTTTTGAGGCCATATCCAAAAATTTATCGCCCACACCAATGTCATGGAGCTTTTCCCTTATGTTTTCCTCTAGTAGTTTCCTAGTTTCAGATCTTACATTTAAATCTTTTATCCATTTTGAGTTAGCTTTTGTATATGATGTGGAATAAGGGTCTAATTTTATTCTTCTGCATGTGTATATACAGTTTTCTCAACACCATTTATTGTAGAGACTGTCCTTTACCCCTTGTGTGTTCTCAGCAACTTTCTGAAAAATTAGTTGGCTGTAAATGTGTAGATTTATCCCTGAGCTTTCCATTCTGCTCCATTGTTCTGTGTGTGTGTGTTTATGCCAGTACCATGCTGTTTTGGTTACTACAGCTTTATAGAATATTTTGAAGTCAGGTAGTGTGATGCTTTTAGCTTTGTTTTTTTGTTTTGTTTTGTTTTGTTTTATTTCTCAAGGTTGCTTTGGCAGTTTGGGTGTTTTATGGTTCTATACAAATTTTAGGGTTTTTTAATTTCTGTGAAGAATGTCATTGGTATTTTGATAGGGATTATATTGAATCTGTAGATCACTTTGGATAGTATGGCCATTTTAACAATATTTATTCTTCCGATTCATGAACACAGGATCTCTTTCCATTTACTTTTGTCTTCTTCAATTTCTTTCATCAATATTTTATAGTTTTAGTATAGAGATTTTTCACCTTCTTGGTTACATTTCTTTCTAAGTATTTTAATTACTTTTCAGCCATTATGAATGGATTACTTTCTTGGTTTTGTTTTTCAGATTGTTTGCTATTCGTGTACAGAAACAGTACAGATTTTGGTTGCTGATTTTGGATCCTGCAACTTTACTGAATTCATTCATTACATTTAATAGTTTTTTGGTGGAGTCTTTTGGGTTTTCTGTATTATAAATCATGTCGTCTAAAAACAGGGACAATTTAACTTCCTCCTTTCCAATTAGGATGCCTTATATTTCTTTTTCTTGCCTAATTGCTCTGGCTAGGACTTCCAGTACTATGTTGAATACAAGTAGGCACCCTTGTCTTGTTTCCGAACTTATAGGAAAAGCTTTCAACATTTCGCTGTTCAGCATAATATTTGCTGCAGGATTGTCATAGATGGTCTTTATTATATTGAGGTACATGTCGTCTCTACATAATTTGTTGAGAGTTTTATCATGAAGGGATATTAAATTTTGTCAAATACT